TTTGTCTTTTCTTGGAACCAATCAATCTATTCTTGATGGGCAGCAAGAGACAAAGACTGGAAATGTACTTCTTGCAAAGAATATAAAGCTTTCTAATATGTGGAGATGCTACAGAGAAAAAAAGTAAATTGTGGCACGCTATAGCTTATTGTCCTTGAAGTAGTCCTGAATAACAAAGTGTCTGAACCTAGAACAGATAATAAGAAATAGCATGTTGGTGACTTTAGCAAATTTTGGGATAAACAGGCAAAGTTTGCAGGTGGGACAAATTCCAGATTTTCTATTTTCTGCTAAAGGTAACTGGTGAGTTTAAGCCACAATGACATGCTGTTGTTAAAAATCTATGATTTGAATACAGGGGTGTGGGAGGGCTTGTTTGCTTTGTTATAATTTAAATCCAGATTGATTTGGGTGTTCTTCTTCTTCTTTTTTTGCAGGCCTCTCTTGGATAACCAATGAGTATCACCAGTGATGATGTCAAAAAGTAAACCAACCATTTCCTGCCCGTTCCAGTTTTTACAAACTTGTATGATGCAAAGGCTACAATTCAACATCCCAAAAACATTGATTTTAAAACTGTCTAGATGATTGTTGTTGCTTTGGTTGTGCTCTATGCAAGCAGAAACCTTTTCCAAGGTTTACGGCTGACCTTTGAACGGCATATTCTCTGTTTGCTACAAACCTTGGGAGTTAGCAGCATGGGCAATTCCTGTGTTTGTCGAGAAGACAGCAGTGCAGAAGATAATGCAGAATCCAGGAATCACCAGGCAGAGAACAGCAGAATGCCTGTACCTGAAACAAGGAGCCATCAGAGGGACCCAGTACGGCCCCCCCGGCGGGGGCGGGGGCCACATGAACCCAGAAGGAAAAAACATAATGTTGATGTTTTAGTACTTGACACGCTGGCAGTAATTCGGACATTAGTAGACAAGTAAGTATCTGGAGAGCAATGAGGCAGTGAATGAACCTGGCTGTTACAGATCCTGCAATTGCTTTCTGAAGGCATCAGAGTGCTGAAGCTCTAGGCTTAATGGGGAGAAAAATGGGTGTGTTTGTGGCTTCCTTAAGATACATTTTCAGGATGCTGAATCATTAGATGATATCATTGGAAAGTACCTATTAAGAAGGTAGTTTTGGAGAGAGACTCTTATCTGAACCCTGTCTTTGGTGTCTGAGGATATCGAATTTGGACATTTCTGCTAACTTTTCAGGAAAGATTGAATGAATTAGATATTATCAGCCCCTTTTGGTCATGCTGGTTGGAGAATTTGGAAACTGTAGTTCAATGGTATAAGGAAGATATTTATGTTTCTTTTGGTTTAGCCTTTTAGTTTTAACACTGCCTGGATTATAACTTTTGTTTTAGGTTTTTAACCCAACACACCCTAGTTCTGCTTTATAGCCTTTCATGAGCCAAGGGTGACATAATCAAACTAAGAAGAATAAGTACAATATAAAAGTGGTTCATAGGCATTAATCAGACGTATAAGTTGTAGTGAAAGAGGCTAAAGCTGGTTCCACACATTTTTGACAGGAAAGAATGTGTGTTGCTAATACTTGTAAATGCTCCTGGGATCATTGCTGATGAAGGATTTCCATAAACCACTTTTTCAGGATGTTGATAGTGAATCACTAGATGAAAACATTGGAAAAAGCTGCTTAGAAGACAGTTTTGGGAGAAACCTTTATCTGACTCCTGTCTCTGGAATTTGAGATCATTGCATTTTATTGCCAAAAAAGGTATAGGGTGTATACATATCCAGTCACCAAAAGACAAGCTTAACAAAGAAAACTTTTTTTTTAACCACAGAGGTGCAGTCTCTCTACTGCATCACTATTGCACTGGTTTCTAGATGATGTAATAGATATGTTACAAAAAAGAGAAGTGATGGAGAAGGAAGAGTACAAAGCAGTTCGGGGTTTTAAAAGAAGACTAGATAATGGAGGATTGGTTTCTGAGTGTCTCTTATCATAACATAACACTAAGATTAGAATCATACACAACAAATACTAGACATTTAGAAAAAGGAGCAAGATACAGCTGTTGTTTCCCTGAATTATTGTTGGCATTTAATTGGTAGCTGTAGAAAAAAATACTAAATGAGTACAGATGGTCCTCAACTTACAACCACAATTGATCCCAATATGTTTCTAAGTGAGAAATTTGTTAAGTGGGTTTTGCCCCGTTTTACGACTTTTCTTTCCACATTTGTTATGTGAATCGCTGCAGTTGTTAAGTTAGTAATACAGTTATTAAGTGAATCTGGTTTCCCCATTGACTTTGCTTGTCAGAAGGTTGCAAAAGGGGATCACACTGCAACCGTCATAAATATGAGTCAGTTGCCAAGTATCAGAATTTTGATCATGTGACCATGGAGATGCTGTAATGGTCATAAGTGTGGGAAATGATCATAAGTCACTTTTTTCAGTGCCATTGTAACTTTAAACGGTCACTAAGCAAACTGTTGTAAGTTGAGGACTACCTGTAGTTGTTAAGCTGTTGGATCAGATCCAGCTTCAGTTCCACCCCAGCAGTTGAAACTCAGAGGATTACTAGTCAGTGCCCATCCAACTCATAGTTTACTTGTTATGGTGAAGGTAGAAGGAATGCTATGCAGGTTACTTGGGATGCTGGAAGAATGAAAGAGGCGATTTTAAACAAATAATTTAACATGTGCCACTTATTACAGGTAACCTTCAGGTTACAACCACTTGTTCAGGTACTGCTTGAAGTTACAACAGTGTTGAACTAAGGGAATTACGACCAGTCCTCAAGGTTTCAGCCTGTGATCAGGATTGGGACGCTTGGCAACTAGCTTGTTGCAATTCAGAGAGTGGTAGCATCCCCTAATCACGTAACTGCCATTCACCACCTTCCCTGCTGACTTCCCACAAACCGAGTCAATGGGGAAGCTCGAAAAAGGTTGCAAGTTGCAACTCCCCCCCCCTTTTTTTGCGGCTTTTTCTCCCAAGCATGGCTTGCTGGGAAATTCTGGGAGTTGAAGTCTACAAATCTTAAAAGTTGCCAAAGTTGGACATTCCTGTTCTAGGATACCTTTGCTGCTGTCAAAAGCTCTCATAATTCTTTAGATGATCATTCTTTATCAGCTATTCTTGTACCTCTTGTGTCTTTTCTGGCAAGGAACGAAGCACTCTGGGCATGTTTGATATTGTAAGCAAAGACGACCATGCTGGCTGTTACTAGTATAAGGATGTAAAACAGCCAGGCAGCCCTGCATATTCTCCTTTGAGTTCTATAATTAAAGACAGACAGAATATCAATGTCATACCAGACATTTGCTTGCATTGAATTTCGCTGGTGCTCTTTATGAAGCCCCTTCATTGGCTAATTAGTTCTGTTCCTATTTCCATTGGTCTTTTGTTGAGGAAAAAAAGAGAATCCTGTTTCACAAAATTGTACTAAACCATCTTTTTTTCCCCCACATCCTTGTATAAACAGCTGTAATGGTTATTCTGGTCTCTGCAGCAGTAGCTTGAATTGCAATTTATTTCACTTGGCTCCAGTTATCCTTCCATAGAATCAAGTGTTCATCCAGAAGGTTAGACCCCTTTTATCCCCCAAATAATCCTATCACGTTAACTGTGCTAAAGACTCGCAGTTGAGCTGTGCTGTCTGTCTGAAGTCCTGCTTCAGACAGACAGCAGTAGTAAAAGTCCTCCATTGTAGGAGAGAGACTAGCAGAATTATTATAAGGATAAAAGGCAAAATATACCTGCTGGTTTTAGCTCCTTGAAGAAAGGATGATGTAAGAATTAGTTGGATAGTTGAACTGAGTAGAGCAGCGGTCACCAACTGGTGGTCCGCGAGAAAATTTTGGTGGTCCGCAGAAAAATTATTTGCATTTTTTATATTGCATTAAATCAGGGGTCCTCAAACTATGGCCCTTGGACCGGATACATGCAATGAACGTTTGTGTTGCTGCAGAGAGTCTCTCCCTTCGGGGTCTTTTTGTGTGGGTCGGAGGGGGGCAGAAATTCCGACTTGGGGTCTGCTTCAGCCTCCTGGTGCAGGGCTTTGGGCGAAGGCTGGAGGGAAGTGCTGCTGGTGGCAAAGAGCTGGAGGTCCTTGTTCCAGTGGGACTGCATCATGGCCTGGAACTGGCTGACCATCTCAGCCTGCTGAGCGTCCAGGCACCAGTACCTGGCCTTGCACTCCTGCAGGTCTTCCCTCTGCTTGGAAAGCCTATGCTCGTAGTCCTCAGTGAGGTGCTTCTGCTGAGCCTCCTTCTTGGTCAGATCCAATTTGAATTAAGCCAGCTGTTTTGACAACTCTTTCTCATGGTGGCTACTTAGCTCCAACAACTGCTTCCTGTTGGGGTCCTAAGGAGCCCAGGCAGACAGGCGAGGAGTGGCTGGGCAGGGAGGGGCGAGTAGAGGCCAGTGAGGCGCTCCTTGATACAAGTGACATCAAGTTGGCCACGCCCATCCAGTCACATGACCACCTAGCCAGTCATTAGGCAGATCATATTAGTGGTCCGCGGGATTTAAAATTTTGAATTTAGTGGTTCCTGAGGTCCGAAAGGTTGGTGACCCCTGGAGTAGAGTGTAACCATTCTACAGATTAGATAGAGAATTTTGTCATGAGTTGGGGTTATAGGTAGTCCTTGACTTACAGCCATTCATTGAGTGACTGTTCAAAGTTACACCAGCACTGAAAAGGTGACATAACCATTTTTCACATTTATGACCACTGCAGCATCCCTGTGGTCATGTGATCAAAATTTGGATGCTTGGCAACTCACATGTATTTAGGATGGTCATGTGATCACCTTTGGCAACTTTCTGACAAGCCATGTCAGTGGGGTTTCTAACTTAACAACTGCAGTGATTCACTTAACAATTGTGCTGAGAATGGTCATAAAATGGGGCAAAATTCATTTAACGACTGTCTTGCTTAGTTGAATTGTGGTCGTAAGTTGCAGACTACCTGCACTATTTTTCATTCAATGTGGGCAGGTAGAAATGTACCAACTCGGTAATAATTAACAAGGTTTTTACTTTTTTTCCCCCCTTTTAGTGATCAGGAACCTCCTTATTCGATGATGACCTTGCACGAAATGGCAGAAACAGGTATTTCCTTTCTGTTGGGTGGCACTTCAATTGTTCTTTGCTGAAATAAACTTTTCACTCTGGAAAGAAGTACAGAGTTGCAATGTGTGTTTATTATGTGAGGTTGAGCAATTATTTAAATGATACCTCTGCCTGACAGCAAGCTTGGTAAAATAAAATAACTATTTCTTTGATAATTATAAATGTACCTGTTTAATCTGGCTAAATTTATGAATTATGCCATTTGAAAAAATCAGCCTGCCAGCTGACTTATTTTATTTCTACTGCGATCAAGTAATTCATCTTAGAATCACCAAAGGAGCAGCTACGTACTTTTCATCTAAATGGAAAAGAAAGTTGTAATTAAAAACCAAGAAGGTTTGCAGGAGCAGGGAAGACCTTCAATGTGTACGGATACCTCTAGATTTCCCCCAAGCTGCTGTGCATATTAAGTATTTGATTGCTTGGCACAGTTACAAAAAGTCTAAATTATTCTATTCTGGGGCTCCAAGATGAGTTGGAGAGACTGGAAGCTGCTCATAAAATTCTGCAGTTTGGTAGCATATCTTAGGGGAAACCTACATACCTACACAAACCCACACCTGGATACAGTCTTTGACTTAGCAACCACAGTGAAGCCTCTCATTGTGATCATAAATCAGGACAGATAAAGCGGGCCATCATGTGACCAGCCCAGTTTTATGACCATTTTTGCAGCAGTTGTTAAGCGGATGCTATAGTCATTAAATCTGAGGCCTTCAAACTTGGCAGCTTTAAGACTTGTGGACTTCAAGTCCCAGAATTCTCCAGCCAGCTATGCATTAAATGAACCCATTGCTTGTTATGGGGTGTTTTTGGAAAAACTAGAAATGGTCATGTGACCACAGGACGCTGCAGATGGCTGTAAATGCAGGACACTTGTGTGAGTGGGAGGAAAACTTCAGAACCAGGTCATAAATACCTTTTGGGGGATCTAATGGAACCTCAGTCACTAAGTGACTGGTGTAAATTGAGGCCTACCTACTACCTACCTGTGCTTTCTTTACTCAATGCCGTTGTGATCTCCTGTATTGCATGTAACCATTCTAAATTTAAGCTGTTCTTATTGTTCTGAAAACAGAAAAGCAGTTTAAGTCTCGATCCTGCTGTGTGCTTTGCAAAAGCTCCATCATTATTTTTTTCTTCTTCCCCTTTTCCTTCAAGAAGGAACTAGGAGGTAGGCCAGATTAAAACACTGTTCCTGACTAAAGTGATTACAGCCATTCTTGAGAATTTCAAAGTTCCCTTTTATGACTAGCAATTCATTATGACTCAATTTTCTGTACATATTGTGGAAAATATGATTGAGTGTCTCTGATTTGCTGGAGAAAGAGAGTCTATTTGGATATGACTATTGGGTACAACATCTCCCTCCCCCCCCCCCCCCCGGCATTTCTTTCTCCAATTTAGGGTGAAGCAATGTCTTTTTTATCTTTAACTCCCATTAAAACACCATACAGAATTTGGGGATTTCAAAATGACATTGGGGAGTCAATGTGTTTGAGTTTTGTCCTTTGCCAAAGCCCCACATTTTGGGCAAAATCCCCTCAACTTTCTTTGGATAATTCATTCTCTCGGCCCAATTTACCTTATGGGATTATTGTTTTGGGTAAAAACCAAGAGGAGAGGCTCCTGAACAGGAGGATATACAGCTAGTCCTCAATTTACAACAGTTCATTAAGCGATTGTTCAAAGTTACAGCGACTTATGGCCACTTATCCCCATGGTCACGTGATCAAAATCCAGATGCTTGGCAACTGGTTCATACTTACGACCATTGCTTTGTCCCAAGGTCATGTGATCCCCCTTTTGTGTCCTTCTGGCAAGCAAAGTCAATAGGGAAGCCAGATTCACTTACCGTAACAATCATGTGCCTAACTTATCAACTGCAGTGATTAATTTAACTGGCTAGAAAAGTCATAAAATTGGGGGCAAAGCTCACTTAACAAATGTCTCAACAGAAATTTTGGGCTCAATTGTGGTTGTAAGTCAAGGACTACCTGTAAATCTAACAAATGAGATGGCTTCAGCAGAAAATGGAGATAAACCTCCCCATCCCGCACACACGAAAGAGAGCAAAATCCGACTCTGCAGGAATTGTGGAAACTCACTAATAGTCTTGCATGTGATAAAATAAGATTGACTTCAGTGGGGAATATTTTGCTCCAAAACGTATTGTGTGTTTCACGTGTGGAAAGTGTCAAGTTCCGTCTGTAGCACCATCTGCCCAAAGCATCCTGGTTTCCACAATCTTGTGTAGTTGTATTTTGTACAAGTGAAAATTTGCCCTGACATTCCGTTTGGTTATTACGAGTGTCTGTCTTGACTCCCAAGAGGCCTAATTTTGTCCTGCTATTCCACTCTGGATCAACAGCCAATCGTTTTATTTTTAACATATGTCTGAGATGATTTGTCCCATTGAATGCTGATGAAATCCTGTTTTTGATTAGTGATATATCTCTCTATTCCTTTAAGTTAAGATATTTGTTTTTATTCTTTGGTGGTTGACAGATGAAGGATGGCTGGAAGTTGTCCAGTCCTTAATAAGAGTTATTCCATTAGAAGACCCTTTGGGACCAGCTGTTATAACTTTACTCTTGGATGAGTGCCCATTACCAACCAAAGTAAGTTAAATATACAGATTGGTCAAATAAAATACCTGATTAAATCTTAAATTAAAGCAACCGCTTTAAAAGTCTGCTTTAATCTCCTTGATTTTAATCTCCTTTAGAAGTGTGCTTTTTTAAAAAAAAAAAAAATGAAGGTCTCAAATGAATAAAATACTGCAGTGTGGTTGAATGGGAAATGTTTGTCAGTTTTATATCAAAAATATAACTTGAATAAAAATTCAGAAAAAAAAATAAAAAAACAGTGACTCAAATTATGTGTTCTGGCAAAACCAATTTGATATTATCAATACAATATGTATCTTTCATAGTAGGTCACAGTGTAATGTGGCCTCAGTAATGCTAAACATACAGATATTGTTTATATAATTAATTTTCCAAGTTCTATATTATATTATTCATTTTAATTCATCTATCATCACTAGTTGTTCATATTAAAAAATCTATAATTTGTGCCTTGTTAATTCTTAGTTGTTTTTGTATCTTATTGCTGTAGACATTATATCTATGTTTTTTCTCATATTAAAATATTGAAAGTATTCGCAGCCCAATAATAGGAATCTAAGCTTACAATTTTGTATTTTTTTCTTTGAAAAGCTAATAATTCTATTATAAAATGTTCTAAAAAGTTATCTGCTCTGAAAAAATAGAATACCATTTAAAAAACTAACTATATCTTAGATAATTAGAATTCAGTATGTGATTCCTAATTCATAGGCTTAAATGTATGATATTTTTGTAATCAGGGTTTATATATATATATATATATATATTCTTTTTAATTCATAGGCTTAAATGTATATTTTTGTAATCAGGGTTTATTCCTAACAACTTTATCTACATAGGAATAAACCCTGATTACAAAAATATCATACATTTAAGCCTATGAATTAAAAACAATAAATATTTGACCTTTACAGGGAGGAGTCATAAAATATGGGTATGGCTGGCTGAAGAGGTCCAAGGAGACCGAAATAGTGCTATCCCAGTCTCCCATAAGTCTCAGAATAAACAACATAAAGTATCTGACAGGCCTGAAAGCGATGATTGGAGATTTCATCCCACCATGGCCATTTAACAACTTTATCTACATAGGAATAAACCCTGATTACAAAAATATCATATATATATATATATATACATACATACGCACGCACACAAAAACAGTAGAAGTTTGAAGCAGCTTCAAAATGGTTACATTTGCTAACTGCTTATAATGCAATTATGTATATCAGTTTTCTCCAAATTGCTGATCTTTTGCTTCAAACCACAATCCACAGTGACACCTAGTATAGGGATAAGGTTAACAGACATCGTCCACAATGGCTTGCGTGTTTTCTTAGGTGTGCCTTTTAGATGTGCAACTTAAGTATATTGGTTTTACAATGCAAATTAATTATGTTTGCTTGAAGCACAATGGGAGAAAAATATGGCTTTTAATAGTGTTTCTCAGCTTCCTTCAATCTTGTGACTTCTAGTTAAATATTGTGAGCCATCACTGTTTGGTGTCTTATTGTCCGTATTGGAAAGTCATCTTAAGTAAAAGTCTCTCCCAAAGAAAAAACTTAATTTTGTTATTTCATAGAAACATAGAAAGCAGAAAAAGATTCAATGGTCCATTGAATCTGCCCTTTGAGGATTTTTGTTGTTTTCTTTTTAATTCACTCCTTTATTTTTTTAATTATTTTTATTTTATTTTATAAATTTTGTTGGTGCAATTTCAGTGCTTGTTAGGATCAAGGGTTATTTCAAATTCAGTTTGTGCCTGTATAAGTATAGATAGGTTACCTTATACGGTACTAAGATATGAATGGAATGGAACGTTTCTTTTGGTGATCTGACTTTCAACAGCCTGCTCCTTTTCCTGTGTAGGATGCATTGCAAAAATTGACAGAAATATTAAATTTAAATGGCACAGTGGCTCTCCAGGATGCCTGTCATCCTGCCAAACATCGGAATACCACTGCGGTTCTGGGCTGTTTGGCAGAAAAGCTTGCAGGTAAAGATTCTGGGATTTCTTTATGTCTCTTTGGGGAGGTTACAGTTCAATTCTGTAGGACTTCTCCACACACCACTGTTGTTTTTAGGTTTTACAGCCTCACCCTCTCCTAATCTATAATAAATATATTGTCTATAATTAGACATCTGCTCATAGAGCATCCTTCAGATAGCATGACAGTGTTTTAATCTCTTTAAATTAACTTGTAATCCCTGGTGCCATTTGCCAGAATGCAGTACAGTAGTTTATGAGTGGTAGGAGTGAGATGTTTACATATAGATTCCTGTTCTGACTCCCATATGGCAATATCTACAGAGGGGAAGTCTGTTTTCTCGGAAGGAAGGTGGGAAACAAAATGTCACTACTGAATTTAACCAACCTTTTTAAAAGGACAAACAAGACTGGAGGTGTCAGATTATGTAAATCACTTTATGTGTTGCTTGTATTCTTCTGTGGTAATGAGGGAGAGGGAGAGGGGGAGAGAGAAAGAAAAAAAACTTAGTCAAAAATATTTTTGCAGCTATATCTTCTTTGCTGCATGCTTCTTCTGTCTGTAAAGCAAGAGAACTGGAAAGGCAGTGCAGGGTCCTAAACTTTTCTGAAAAGACTTCTTAAACAATGTAAAACAGCACCTTCGATGCACGTGTTTCATTTTTAGTGTTTTTACAGGCCCTGCAAGTGTAGGTTTACTCAGCCAAGGAATCTTGGAGTACTTACTGCAGAGCTTGGTGAGTACCAAAATAAATCAGTATGCTAAGTATTGTGCGTGTAAACATTTGAAGGGATTTCTATGGCCTGATCTCATTTAGTCTTGTGTCACTAAAAAAAGGAAGCCGCAGCATAGTGTGTCCAGCCATTGCAATTATTTTTCAGTGGCACAGTGAAGGTTGACAGGTTTTGGTAAAGAAGAAGAGAAGAGCCACAGTTCAGAAGTTAGCATGTTTGCTTAAGACACCGACATCTCTCCGGGCCAGTCTCTACATGGTTACTGTCAAACTTTTCAAAAGCTGCTACTAATGCAGTTAAATACAGAAACACCAGCAACATTTAAATTGAACAACCTTTTCACTTTTTAAGGCAGTCAGGCAACATGTACTTGACAATTTAAGGGAAAGTAGCTGTAAATTACTTACGTGCTACTAAAAATACTTGTGCATCTACTGTATTCTTTTCTTTAATCATAGATCAATTACCCAGAGCTGTGTATAGCATGGTAATATAAGGATTTTGGTTTAAGGAGCAGCTGCCTTTTTACTTTTAACAATAATGTATTAGAATTGAAGTCACTGTTATTTTACATAAAATCCATGCCTACTTTTCTTCATTTTAGCAGTATAATTTACATGGAGCGTGGGGATCTTATCATTAGTCACATTAAAGCTTCAGAAGGGATTCTTAAAATGATAAAGGCCTCTCCTTCAGCTTTGTCTGGAGGCTGCAGAAATGT